CTTTATAACTTTCTTAGATCAAAATCTTATTTAGCTTTTTGCTGTTTATTTCAAATTCTTTGAATTTGAATTCAACAGCTTAAAGTTAATTTTTCTTTTGTTCACAGTTGAAGATAAAACTCAATGACTTTTCGAACTTGTCATTCTGAAGGTGTCTAATAGCTTTAAGATGGCAATTTCTGAAAGTGATTAGAAAGTGAGGTTTGCAAACTTACATGTCCCTTAAAAGGCTCTGCCACAGTTGTGAGCAAGATTTATTTATATTTATTTATATTTCACTAAGAAGTGACCCTTCGTCTCTCAGCACTCAAACCCATGGAAAACCACTGTCCTGCGGTCTGCTCACAAGGAGCAGCCATCTGGAACATATGTGGGTGATCTCCCATCCTCTCCTTATCCAGAGAGGTTCTTAGGAGCTGGTCTATTCACCAGTTCCTTAGTCTTTACCACGGTTGTCAGCTCCGCTTTCACAAAGACATCTTCAGCTTGCCATACCTCCCCAGGAAGTCTCAGGACTCTGTGGTTCTTTTTTTCATAATATTTCTGTTAAAGTTTTACACATATAAAAGCTGATACAGAACTAAAAGAATCTACAAACAAAAAGAGAAAAAAGAAGAAAGAGAAAGTAATATAAAAGGTGACTTCCCCCCTCCAAGCAAGTATATGCATTAACAATAACTTAACACCTTCCCTAATATTACGGAAAAAAGCCCTCTTCATCCCATTTCTCATCCCTAAACAATAACCAAATTGTAAAAAATATTCATCAATCAGTCCAGTCAGCAAAAGTACCAGTGATAATAAACTATATATATTAAGCTTCAACAAATCTATTTTGCATTTTAAGTTCTAATTTTTTTCTGAGGAATAAAACAAAAGATCTCTCCCCATAAGCATAAGAAAGACCAATAATAATGTGTGTTTTAAACTAAACCAAATGAATTGCTTTTACAGGTGTAAATCATTGTCTTACCATCCTGGTCAGAAAAATAAAGTTCAGTATTAACAACCCTGGATCAAAACTTATACAATTTAACCCTGATCCTATAAATCTACTTTAAATTTCTTTCTCTTCTTTTTAAAAGGCTCAATCTTCAATCTTTTCTCCAAATAAAATCCCAGATAGTAATCTCTTATCATTCTCTCCCTATTTTCAGAAAAGGTTTCAAAGATATAGTGTTTCCCTTCTGTAGATCCAAAGTAGGATAGCTCTCACTCTTCTGATTCATTACAACTTCTTTCTCCATGTCATTCCCATAAAAGTGACTTTTAAGTCTATCTTCAGCCCCAGCATCTTTTATCTTCTCTGTCTCTCTTACAGTCTAGCATTTCTTTAAAGTCCATTTTAGAATCCTTATTCAAATCATCCTCACCTTCTGTTTTATCTAGTAAAGTCTTTTTTTTCTTCTACAACCTCTGTTAGACCCAATTTTAGAAATAATTCCTGGATACACTAATCCCAAACAGCTAGAAATTCTTCTATGAAAAGGGAATGTTCCTCCATTACGTTAAAAGTTATCTTTTCCTTTAATTGCTCTCTGGTTCCCTCTAGTTAACC